TAAAAAGCCAAGAAATACAAAACAACTAGAAGGTGAATGCAAATGCAAGAAACATCTAATCACACAATCTACAGTTCCATATCCTAGCATCATCTATAAATTCCATTGGAAATTAACTTAAAAATCCTTATCAATTGGGTCATTACAAGCAAAAAGTAATTATTAACAACATTAGCAGCATTAAGCAACTATCAATATTCCCAGAGCTCATAAACTGTAACTTTTAAAAGTTATTGATGACCGTGTGAGATTTTGCTCACTGCAAGCACAGGCAAAAAAAGCAACAACAACAACAATAGCAGGCCTTGCAACCAGAAAAACACAATATATCACTACGGTATTGCTATACCCCAAATGTGGAACAACAAAAAAAGGCTACTCACTGCTTGGCTCTTTTTGTGTCACAGTCAGACGCAGAAGACTTGGCATGAGAATTATCTTTTTTCTCAGAAAAGGCTTTTTCATCAAGAGGGCCAGATTTAGCAGAATCTTGTTTTCCATTTCCTGTTTTTGGTGCACCCTCCACTTCTCGTGCTGCACATGATCCTAAACCCTGAACAAATGTGTTTCCTCTAAGTGAAGGAAGCCCACTTGGATGAGACACAGCATTCAAAGATGAATCCCACGCCCTATTATTTTGCTTTACCAAGTTCACATCAGCATAGAAAGAGTTAAGCCGAAAATCTTTGCGATTGTGATGATCAAAGTCTTGAGATGCCCAAGAAAGTCCAGAATTCATAGTTTTATAACCATAATCATCTTGAGCTGCATAATCTAGGCTAGGAGCATCAGATACATCGATGTATGCAAAAGAGTCGCTCGATGATCGTCGATGACCTCCTCTGTGCACTGGAGTCTCTGGCTCATTAAGGAGATCATCAAGCCAAGAAGGTTGTTCCTCTATTAGAAAGCTTTCAGAGGAAGTGCGCTGGTGGTATGCACTTCCCTCTCTGGGCTTTTGAACCACTTTTGATCCAATTACATTGTTGGGGGCATTATCATTATTCGTTGAGGAGACAGTAGGAAAAGGACATTTAGGAGGAAGTAATGGATTCTTTCCAGCAAACATCAAATTTCTTATATTTGTTCCCTTGGAATTTGCCATGGCCAAGGCCAACCAGTTCCTGTACAGGGAACAGGAAAGACTGATCATGAAATAGATAATTAGGATAAGAACAAAGTCAAACAAAAAGGTATTAGCAAAAATGAGTTGTCATGCCAATTTCAGTTCAGAAACTAAGAGACAATAAGCCCTCCATTAAACAAAGGAAATCGTAAAAATAATAGAGTGTACCTTGTATCAAACATATTGCTATATAGCAGACAGTGATCTTAACATAAAAAAGTTTGTCTGGTACACAGCATTGCATAACAAGTAGACATTCTATCAAAGATTTCTTTTCCCTTTTAAAAAGAGACCACTCATGAACAATATCTTTCAACAAGACTTTACATCTTACATCAAAATCAATTTTGTCCCTAGTTCCAATGGCTATATCTTCAGATGCAAGTAAAACAAAAAAAAAAGCCAAACAAACACTACACTACTACAGTTAGAAGAAATCTTTGCTTTTGTTTTGCAGGTTGAAGATTGTAACATCACACAACACTTTTATGAAGAGCCGTATGTTGATTGTTTTAATTGAAACTGAGCATTAAAAAAGGAATAGCATAGAACTCGAAACACAGTGTAACAAAAGAATGTTTCCCAAGCTCTGTCAAATAAGAAAACCTATCTAACGAAATCATATTCATATTGTGTATGAAATATTATAACTTTTGCATATGTAGCCAAGCATGTAGTCCGAAAAGAAATAGCAGCACATTCCTCACAAACAGGAAAAAATAGATCAAGAGTTCATGACATTCCTCATAACAAAATCTAAGTAATCTAATTCATTAACTTAAACGAGACACTTCAAGTTCATTCAACAAAACAGGGAAAATGCAAAGCAAAATCTGTTAAAATTAACAGATTAAATTAACTTATAACAATGATTTTGGCATTATTTTTAGTGCCTCTACATAAACAGGAAAAAAAACAAAGTTAAAAAGCTTAATTGAATTTTTTACTAAATAATAAAAAATATGAACAAACAGCTACTAAGCTAAAAAAAAGCATAGAATACTTAAAACTGTGACTTCTGATTGTTTTCCACATTTCCTCAGCAACCAAAAGGCAGACTAAAAAATCTAAGACACGTGAAAGCCAAAATGCAGCTCATGAACCTTTTTTTTTTAAAAAAAATCTTAAGCATTGAAGATTAGGTAATCTATATTCAGTATAAAAAGGAAATGTTACACAACGTGTGAGACAAATAAATATACTAGAAGATTCAAAAACAGATTGAAAATACAAACAAACGGAAAATTTATCTTTCTGAAGTTGTAATTTATAAATATATACAAATTTTAAAGCTTACTTTTGAAATCGAAGAATTAAGATCTCGAAATGCAAATCTTCAATGATTCAAGATCGGAATCTAAGAATTCCTAGGGTTTGCCTTTTTCGCCCTTTTCTCTTGAGGTTTTTCTGTTCTCTGGTTACGCACCTTCTGCCCTGCTCTCTCTCTCTCTTTCTATTTATATTTCTTTCTCTGCGTTGAAAGCTGGAAGTGGGAATCACGAATCAATCAGGGACTGGATTGAATAATAGTAATAAAAATTGAGAAAAAACAAAAGTTGAATTACGTTTTTCTTTTTCACTTTTTAACTCCCCAACAAATCGCCAATTTCTATTTTGATTATTTTAATATATTTTAGCCCACTTTAATCCTCAAAATATGATTAAAATAAAAAAAAATCAAAACAAAGAAGAATAAAAAATAAACTTGAAAGCAAACAATTATAATATAGTTATAAAAGAATTTAAACAATAAATGAGAGGTGAAAACATTAATAAAAAAAGAAAATAAAAAAGAGTAAAGTACACAAATGATCCTGAGACTATAAGTTGTTTCCTTGTTGGCTATTAAAGTTACGAAATGACCCTTTGTTTATAGTACATTATTTTGTTGAGTCACACGACTATAAAAAGATACAAAATAGTCAGCTAACTATTCATATTTTCAATCTTGTCATTTTGTTAAAAATTTGATGGCGGTTTGAGTTAGACGTTAACATGTTAACTGTGATATGATAAAATCGGATCTCAAAATCTCAAATGACTATCATATCTCAGTCAACAGATTAACTTCTAGTTCATATTGTCATCAGTTTTTTAATGAAAAAGACGAGTTTAGATTATATAAATAATTGGGTGACCATTTTATAACTTTTAATAGTCGGAAGATTCAATAAAACAATATCCTATAATCAGGGAACTATTTTATACTTTTAATAATAGAAAGAATCAACAAAATAATGCCTACATATCATTTGTGTATTTTACCCTACAAAAGATTTTGGACTGTTTCTTAGTATGGGCCACCTACCATTACTAGTCCATTTCTGGCATCGTCCCCTATGCCTTTTGTTTCTTTTATTGATATTTCCATAAAAACATACTATATATTTAAAAATAAAACTTTTCTATTGCAGCAAGTTGCAAAAAGCCTGCATGTTTCATTCATATAATAAGATAGGAAGGGATCTGGCTTTTTCAATAAATTTTATATTTCTCTTACTTTTCTTTTCCATATATTATTCAACACTATTTTTAGTTATATATATATATATATAATTTTTTAACCATTATCCTCTGCCCACATGTTATTTATATAACCTTTTTTTATTTTTTATTGTTAGTTAATAAAGAAGATTTTTTAACTTTACAAGTAGAGTTATAAAACTGCATGTTTCTAGAATTAATAAAAATAAAAAAGACACTTGATTTTTTTTAATATATTAGTTTTAAAATCCATTTTGAGATATTTATTAGTAATATTTTCATTATAATTTAAAAACATTTAAAGGACTAAATGTTTATTGATGTCATGGATAGATATTTTACTTAATCTAGAAACATTTTTGGATGATTTAATTTGGTTTATTACATGAGGAATTAAGAATATTAATATATTGTATAATTATAAAACAAAAACTATCAAGTTTTATTGGTGAAAAACTATCAAGTTTTATTGGGGAAAAACTTTCAAATAATTGAAATTTGTATTTATCTTTTATAATCATTCATTGAAAATTGTTTGATTTTTATGTTTACAAAATCAATTATATCAAAATTGTTTTAAATATTATAGTCATTTATAATATAATCTTTTATAATTTTTTTAAATATAATATTGTTTTCCATAATTATGAATAATATGTTTTATTTTTTTAATAATATGAGGTGATTATAAGGTAATTTGTTTATAATTTTTCTTGCTCATTTTATAACGCACATATACCATGTAAGCGTAGCAGTTAAACGCTAGACGATGTTTATTTAGATCTAAATTGAACAAATTAAAAATGACACTAAATCACTACCTAAGACGACATTTTAAAAACAAAAACTATAAAAACACTTTAGAAAAAATTAATATATTGAAACTACAAAAACTATAAAATTAGGATTTTTCGTATCAAAGCTTATAACTTGAAATAAAAAAAAAATTATTGATTGTTTACAGTAATTTTTTATGTAAAATATATATTAAATATATTTTTAATAATAAATATTGACCTCGATATGTATCAAGGCCTTATCATCTTGATCGCAATTAATCCGTAGAAAAAAAATTAATGATTTTATATTTTTATGAATAAGTCATTGATGGCATGGTTATGAGATAATCGGCGTGAACGGTGTAATTTGGATTGAAAAAAATTATTCTCTGTGATTTATTGGAACCTTTAGAAGCAGTGAAACCTCTCGATTTTTAATGATTCCATCAAGTATGAAAGTATTGTTGCGCGGAGTAGGACTCTTTAGAGAGTTATTAGCTAACCGTGCCTCCAAGCAACATGCTCCCCTTGTAGGATTGATTTCTGCACGATGAGAGAGACCTCCCAAGAGGATTAAAGCTAACGTAGACGTAAATGTGAGGTGCAATGACATGACGGAAGCTGCGGGAGTGTTCTTCGATGTAACCAAGGGAATTGGTTATTTGGTTCCTCTAAAAATATAGGTAATTGTCCGATATTGTTTGCAGAAATTTGGACCTTCCATGATATGTTTGTGAATGCATGGAGATTGAGGTACAGTAAGATAATGGTTGAAACTGACAACGCCGAGGTATTTAAATTACTATTTTCGGCACTAAGAATAGAATTGAAGAACCCACTCGTAGACTCGGTAAGGACGATTCTAAAGTTATAGTGGGATGTGCGGATATTGCTAATTGGGAGGAAAGCTAATTCGATAGGCTTGCAAGATTGGATCGGAGGCGCTCCATTGGCAAAAGAATTTTTACTAAACCGTCTCCTGAAGTGACTGCCATTGTCTCTCTAGAGACTACTGAAATTTGAGGAGTCTTGAGTTCTGTAGTTTCAGTTTTAGTGAGAGAAAAAAAGGCAATTATACAGATGTAATATAACAGAATGTGCAGGCATTGGACAAAGGATTACTGACATAGGAAATAAGATAGATGTGATATTGTTTGGCCTTGAATTCCTGAAGTTATAGCTGATTCGAAGTTCATGCTCCAATCGGTCCACTTCCTCTCTAGTCTCTACTCTTCGGTGCAACTCTAAAACCCCAGATAGCAGAAGAGCATCCTTGTAAAAAACCTCAAATTGCCACTCTCTGTCAGCCTCGTGCTCACAAAAGTGGCTTCTTCCGATTTTCCCTTGTCGCAGTCTGCCTGAATTTAATCAAGTTTGTTATTGTTTGCGATGCCAGTGTCAAACAAGTTTTGAACAGCCTCGCCTCGGAAATCACTAGTAGTGTTCCTTTTAAATCAACTGATGGAGATCATACTACTTTTGCTTGGTCGTGTTTTATTAAATCGTGGTGTCAAGTACGAAATACTGTATGTTTTGACCTGAGGATAGGAATCTATTGTGTGAGGGGATTGAACTTGACCTCAATGATCAACTGAATGCTAATCTCAGGGAAATGCTGCTAGAATCTAATTTTGGGTTTGATATATGATTTTATTTGTTTGCTAATTATAATTAATTTAGTGTTTATAGATTTATTATGCATGTCACTGTAAAAAGTATATTTTATAGAATGAATAATAAGGTGGATACGACCAATGTGGGCCGGGTAAAAAGTTATTTGGGTAAACAAACATATCAGGTTCTCGTATAATATTGAAGATAGAATGAAATTATTGAATGAAACTCATTTGATGAACAGGAGCATTGAGAACGTAGTCATCTTGTGCGGGGATCATCTCTATCGAATGGATTATATGGACTTTCTACAGATTTTAGTTTCTTTTGCTTGACTTGGGTCATTTTTTTACCTTTTAGCATAGCTAAAAGCTTCAATAGCTTACTGCAATGCATAACAGAGTCATGTCGACAATAATGCTGATATTACGATTTCATGCGTGACCATGGGAAACAGGTTTCCGATCTTCTTCTCTTATTGTAGTTTTCTCAAGTTGTATATGTACCTTATTTAACTGGTCCCCATTAGTAAGAGTTTCATGGTTTACCATTGTGATGAAATTATCTCATGGGGTATATTTTTGCCGAAGCTTCTTTGGGTAAGGCTTTCTGTATCACAACTTCGTATGAACAAATCCTAAAATCATCTAAGAAGCTGAACATAGATAATTAATCACTTTCCAGCCGTGCATCTGATTATGGACTGGTGACGATAGATGGAAGGGGCCGTATTGTCCAGTTTTCTGAAAAGCCAAAGGGTGCTGACTTGAAAGCAATGGTAAGTAGTAGAAGTCGTGCGTAGTCTCGATGTCCAGTTAGCTTCGAATTTTCTCTGCGTTTCTGAATTTTAGCTACAAACATTGAGATGTTGTTCTATTTACTTGCTTTCTACTTATGTAACCGACGATTATTTTCTCAACCGATACCACTTTTCCTTTATAATTCTCTGCAGCAAACAGATACCACTCTTCTAGGGTTGTCTCCCCAAGAAGCCTTGAAATCTCCTTACATAGCATCAATGGAAGTCTATATATTTAAGACAGAAGTTTTATTAAAGCTTCTGAGATGGAGATTTCCTGCTTCCAATGACTTCGGGTCCGAAATCATCCCTGCTGCAGTTGAGGAACATGATGTCCAGGTAAGAGCTATAGAAATGGAAATTCCATTTGTCTATGACGTTTCTCCATCTTTGCTAAAACGAGGGACGAGTTCATATACCAGTGAGGCTTCAAACCGAGCACTGAATCTTACCGGAAAAGAAGCAGGCCTTTCCAAGTGTCATTTATTGACTCGGATGTTATGTCAAATATAAGAATTATTTCATTCATTGTTCGAATAAGATTTAACCTCTGTTAATCTTCTCGGCCTGTATGCAGGTTCCTAAGTCCGAGTGTTATGATCCAAAGACACCTTTCTATCCATCTCCTCGACACTTACCACCAACAAAAATCGATAAATGCAGGGTATGGTTGTGTAATTTTGGATTACAATTGTGACACTTCATTTTCTTCCATCTCATGATGTTTCAGTCTATTAATGAAGATTAAAGCTGCACTAATCTCTCATGGATGCTTCTTGCGAGAGTGTACCGTCCAACACTTGGTAATTGGTGAATGCTCCCGTTTGGACTCTGGCGTTGAGCTTCAGGTGAATTATCATTGTTTCCCGTTTAAACTAAATCGTTTGCCTTCAAAACTTTTTGGTTGGATTGATGATTGTTCAATTCCTTCCTATCCACAGGGCACAGTTATGCTGGGAACGGACTATTACCAAACTGAAACTGAAATTGCATCTCTACCAGCTGACGGTAAGGTCCCGATTGGAATGGGACACAATACCAAAATCAGATAACTTATTTAACATGTTGAACAAATTCCAACAGTTCAATGACATATCCGTGATCTCGTCTTTCCAAAACACATATCGTTTTCTCTGCCAGGAACTGCATTATCGACAAGAATTCTAAGATAGGAAACGATGTGATCATTGCCAACAAAGATGTAAGAATACTATCCTTATTCATTCATTCATGCCTTTCCATGTATCATCAAATAAAGCAGAGCATTTATAAGACATCGATAAACTGTTGTTTCTTTTGTAGGGTGTTGAAGAAGCGGATAGGCCGGACGAAGGATTTTATATCCGGTCGGGAATCACCATCATAGCAGAGAAGGCAACAATTAAAAATGGTACTGTTATATAGGCGGAACATAAATTACTTCCACGACAGCTCTGGGCTTGGAATTAGAAGGGGCACTATCGAAAGCTGTTACTGTCGGATGAGCTTCTGAAGGTGGCGTTAGCAGAGCATTTTGCCTCAGAAAAACAAAGCTGCAATGCTATCAATTACTTTTATGTAAATTGTTACTTGTTTTTTGCATTGTAAAGTAATAGATTCAATGTCAGTTGGAAAAATAAATCAGGTGGCTAAGCCCCTTGTTTCTGTAATATCTTTTGAGAAAATAATAAATGCTTAAAATTTTATTTCTTTAATGCTTTTAATGTTACTCTTTTGCTATCCGTGCATGACTATATATTTGTATAAGTTGATTGTTAGTGATGAGATAGAATTTCTTATCGGTAGTAATTATTCACAGATTGCGGGCGTTAATTTTTATTATTTTTAACAAAATGACAAACAATTTTAAAATAAATTAGAATTACTTTGAAATTTTTCAATACAATCCGACAAATTATACAATATTATGAAAATTATATAAAAATTTGTCAACCTACAACTAAAGCCCATACAATGCAATGGAAGCAATATTTGGTGACTTTGATAGCCTTCAAAAGCATTCAATTTTTTCAATTCCATGAAACATTAAAGGATAAGTAAAGAATCAAATCCTGCTTGATGGCTCGACCCAGCTAGACGAAATATGTTAACTCTTTTGCCACTTTATCCGGACTACCGAACAAACGTCAAATATCATGTGACCAAGAAGAAAAAACAATATCCACATAAAAGAACCAATATCATCAGGGAGTGACTGTTAAGTTAAAACATTCACTAAGAATCCAAAATCATACGAAGCATGGAAGGTCATCCACATTAAATCTCTAAAAAAATTAAATAGCCACAAATCCTTGTTGCGGAAGACGACTATCGGATAGAGCAAAATCGCAACTGATAATTTGAGAAAATAAAAAATGAAGATAAAAGAGACACAAAATTTACATGGAAAACCCCTAAATAATATAGGATAAAAACTACGGGCAACAGTAGAAGAATTTCACTATAAGAAAATAGGAATTACAACTTCTCTCGATCTACCAAGGAGAAAACAATGATAATTCTCTCTTGATAAATAGGAGAAAACAACTCTCAAGAAACTCTCTAAATTCTCTCTAATATTGGAAGAAAGCTAGAATGCTTTGGGATGGTTTTGAAGCTAAATGAGCTAGGGTATTTATAGTTGAAGCTTAAGGACTAATCTTAAAAATACTCTAAAGTTTAGTGACTAAAGTTTCTAATTTTTCCATTTAATTTTCAACCATTTCAGCTACCTAATTTTGAACCAAATTTGCAGCCAACATGGACCAAATTCAGCCACCCCATGCCGCCCCATTTGCTTGCTTTGACATTTCAACAATCTCCCACTTGAAGATTTGATTGGAACAATCATATCTTTACACCATTCTTTCTACCTTGTACCATCATGTTGTTTATGTCTCTGACAGGCCACAGGAGGATCGACACCAGATAAATTTATCAGCGTTGATCGTCTTCGTCGTGAAATTTGCTATGTTGTCTTTGGTATAGATCTTCTGCATATCTACCGTCCCTTCTTCTGCATATCTATCGTCCCTTCTTCCACCTTTTCACGAATGAAATGGTACTGAACTCGTATGTTCTTTGTCCTTGAATGAAATACTGGATTCCTTGCTAGATGCAAGGCGCTTTGACTGTCACAAAACAGAGAGACATACTCTTGATTGTGCCCAAGCTCCTCCAATAGCATCTTCAACCAAATTGCTTCTTTACTGGCTTGTGTAGCTGCTACATATTCTGCCTCTGTTGTGGATTTAGCCACAACTGACTGCAATTTTGAAACTCAGCTTACAGCTCCACCAGCAATTTTGAACAGATATCCTGTAGTAGATTTGCTTTTATCCAAATCCCCTACATAGTTAGAATCAACATACCCATTGATAAGTAAGTTTGATCCTCCGTAACATAATACAATATTTGAGGTCCCTTTGATGTATCTCAGGATCCTCTTTACTGTATTCCAATGCTCTTTTCCTGGATTCACCATGTACCGACTAACCATTCTCACTGCTTGTGCAATGTCTGGTCTTGTGCATATCATAGCGAACATTAAACTTCCCATTGCTGATGCATACGATACTCGAGACATCTTCATCCTCTCTTCTTCACTGCTAGGACTCATTCTGGAGGATAATTTGAAGTTAATAGGAAGAGGGGTAGAAATTGGCTTACAATCTTGCATGTTGAATCGTGACAAGATATTCTTCAAGTAATTCTTTTGTGAAAGCCAAATCTTCTTATTACTTCTGTCTCGGTGATTTTGCATCCCTAGAATCTTGTTTGTTGATCCCAAGTCCTTCATTTCAAATTCCCTAGCTAGTTGTGCCTTCAATTCTTCAATATGATCTTTGTTGGGTCTTACAACTAACATGTCATCCACGTACAACAGTAATATAACAAAATCGTTATCAACAGACCTCTTGAAATAAGCACAAGGGTTTGAATTAAGTCTGTTGTATCCAAGGCACATAATGAATTAATCAAATCTCTTATACCAACACCTCGGCGCCTACTTTAGATCGTACATAGATTTGTTCAACCTGCAAACCAAATTCTTCTTTTCTTTTTCTTCAAAACCTTTAGGATGAAGCATATAAATCTCTTCTTCAAGATTTCCATAAAGAAAAGTTGTTTTAACATCTAGTTGCTCTAGATGTAAGTTCAATGTAGCACACATTGCCAAAACTACTCGAACTGTTGTTAGTCAAACCACAAGAGAAAATATTTCATTGAAATCAATACCTTCTTTTTTAGCATATCCTTTGACCACCAGTCTTGCACGATACCTCTCAACTTGATCGTCACCATTTCGCTTGATTTTAAAGACCCATTTGTTACCAATTGGCTTCCTTCCTTGTAGTAGTGGCACAAGGTCCCATGTATTATTTTTATGAAGGGCTTCAATTTCTTCTTGCATCGCCATCATCCACAGTGAAGCATCTGAGTTGTTTATTGCCTCCTGATATGTTGATGGCTCACCGTCCTATGTTAAAAGGCAGTATGCAACATTTCCTTCTATAACATAATCTGAGTGCCAATTGGGACGTCTTCTCACACGATTTGATTGACGAGTTGTTGGAGCTTCAGAAATCTCTGGTTCTTGTTCATCATGTGCTGGTTCTGCTTCAGAAGAATCTCCTTGTTCAACCTCTTTTTTACATCTATCTGTGTAGTCTCTGACTTTTCAACGCTATCATCATCTTCTTTTCTTTGTAGTTTATCTTCTACAAAGATAACATCCCTGATGATGATCACTTTGCGGGCAGTGGGATCCCACAAGCGATACCCCTTTACACCATCAGCATACCCCAAGAATTTGCATTTCCTGGATTTTGGATCCAGCTTTGAAATTTCTTGGGAGTTGTGCATCACGTACACAATACTTCCAAATACATGGAGGTTTGAATAATCAGCTAGTTTACCAGTCCACATCTCCATTGGTGTCTTCAGCTCTATTGCAGTTGATGGAGCTCAATTCACCAAATAACAAGCGGTATTGACTGCTTTTGCCTAGAATGATTTTTCTAGGTCTGCATCCCTCAACATTACTCTTGTTCTTTCTAACAAGGTTCTGTTCATCCGCTCTGCCACTCCATTTTGTTGAGGAGTATTCGCCACTGTGAACTGTCTTTTGATGCCTTTTTTCCTGCAAAAGTCATCAAATTCTTCGCTTGTGTATTCCCCTCCATTATCTGTTCTGAAACACTTGATCTTGTTTCCGGAATCAAATTCCACCCATGATTTGAAGTTTCTGAAAGTTGAAAACACATCTGACTTCTTCTTAATAGGGTACACCCAACATCTTCTAGAGTAGTCATCAATAAATGAGACAAAGTATTTTGCTTCGCCTAGAGATGTAACTGGTGCTTGCCATACATCAGAGTGAACCAATTCTAGAACAATTTTGCCTCTAGAATTTGACGTCTTGAAATATTGAAAAGTATATAATTATCTTTAATATTCAAAATTAAATAGGTAACAAATACATTTTAATTTGACATATTCAAAGAATAATTATCCTACTACTATTCAAATTAAAAATATCTTTTAATTTGTAATATTTAAAAGTATAGTAAATTTAATTCAGAAGGTAGTACTTGTTTGAAAAAGAGTGAATTATAGATTTAATATGTAAATTAAATTTACGATACTTTTAAATATTACAAACCAAAAAGAATCGCTTGGATCAGTGACTTCTTCGTTAATGGTATCGTCGGTGGGAGTCATGGAATCATATGGTTGAATTAGCCATCTCAGACGGTGAATTCACACCATCCGAATCAAATCTTTTTTTTTTCCTCATCAACTAATCTTGCAAAAGATGGCAATATGGAAGAAGAAGAAAAATGGATTGGGAAAATAAGTTGAAAAAGAACTTAGTTAAGGAAGGTAGAGGGTTCAAATCTTCTTTTTCTTTCCTTATCAACTAATCTTACAAAAGACAACAACATGAAAGAAGAAGAGATTTGGAAATGGGTTGAAGAAGAACTTAGTTAAGGAAGGTGAAGGGTTCAAATCTTTTTCTTCTTCTTTTGATATGTGTGTTTCCTCATCAACTAATCTTGCAAAAGACACAGTATGGAAGAAGAAGAAGAGATTGTGAAAATAGGTTGAAGAAGAACATGGTTAGGGAAGGTGGAGGGTTGGACGAATCCAAAATCAGAAAGAGTAGAGGGTCGAGGTTGAGAATTAGGTTTTTTAATATTTTAATATTTATTATTATTTTAAAATATATTTTAAAATTAAATAATAATAATTTACCATGTCATAAAAAATTAAAAAAAATTCAAGTCATTGTTGAGTGATAAAAAAATAATGTATAAAATTTAAATTAAAAAAAATTAAAAGTACAATTAATAAAATAAAAGATTCAACTACTAAATTTGTCATTTATCCATTTAATATTCCAACGACCACAACGGGAGCTGAATCCATGACCTTCTGATCGGAAGTCAGACAAGCTAATCCACTGCGCTATGCAGTCCTTGGATGGACATGAAATTTGAAACCAATTAGCAAGCTAACTCTAGATTTGGGCCGCTGAATTATATTAAAAATAAAAAAAAGATGAAGGACTATAATTGAAGTCGATGACAATGTAAAAATATTTTGAAAACTTAATAAAGATATATCAATTTTGGAGATGGTTTTGTGGAGGCAATA